ACACGATAACTCGAGTAAAAATTAAGATATCTTAACGAAACTTGGTACGTGTACTTCTTTCGGGCGTATGACGGATGGTGGCCAAAATCGGACAATAACCACGCCTACCTCCCATATAACGGTAATTTTCAGAAATATGAAAACTGCGCTATTTTAGTAACTACTGAAGATTATTCACTCAAAATTGATATTTACAATAATTTTAAGACGAAAAATAAGAATATTGTTCGTTGTATATGACGCCAGTAGCTCTGGTTGGGGAAGTTTGGAAGGCAGCCAGGCTGGAAGCGGCAAACAAGTGGGACCTTTCCTTGAGTCTTTGAGCTCGGGTCTGGCTTCACGCGGAACTTTCCCCGCCAAGGCATATCGAGGAGATCTTCCGCTATTGTAACCCGAGTTTTCCAGCGCACATCTTATATGGATGGTGATTTGGTTTCAGAAGTCGGAGGAATCTTATCGGCAAGCGCTGATGTTGCTGAATACAGCAGCTACTGCAGCTTTATATTGTTGTAAAGTCAAGCAGCTGCAATGAGCACAAAAAGCTGCCAGAATTAGAATGAGTGCGGTATTCCGATTGATACCGACTGAAAATTGCGATGAAATTGTTAACAGGAGATTTCACTATTAATAAGTAAAATTACATTTTCTTTAAGTAGTCCTTTCTCACTTTACAAACATGACATTTCTTTCTTAAGTAATTTAAAGCACTTCCGCACTTTACTCGTATAAACATTTGATCTCAACGTTTAATAATAATAAAATGTTTGGCGTTTACACTTTTGCTGAGTATTAGTCCTCGCTTCTTCTCCAATTTGTAGTATGCGCGCGGACTTTGTTGAAGAATGTACCTATTTATATTGACTCCAAACGGCGACTGTATTTTTATGGAATGCTGTTTTCATGGATCGCTGTAAGAAAAATGCTTTATAATTTAGATGTTTCTTGGGCCAGAGATCGACTCCAGATCCAAGTAGTATGCACCTCTAACCACTCAGCCGCGGCGACTCTCAATATTTATAAACTTCAAATAAACATAATTCTACTAAATATAAACGATTTTTATAGCGTATATTAAGTTATTTTTTAAAACACTTGCAAAAATGCTTGCTGGGTATGTTTATAGTAATGTATTGTATGTACATATATATTATAAATATTCTCGTTGCATATAGTCGAATTCCGTTAGTGAGGCGTTCTAAAGTTTTATGACTCGCTCCTTACGGGAATCCTTTCCTGTAACATTTTCCACGCTTGCATAAGCAAAGCATGAGTCAATACAATGTTACGTAAATACAAATTGACAATCTAAATGCGAAAACTGCATGCAAACTGACTTTCCGCTTATAAATTCACGATAATCAAGGAAGCAATGGACGAAGTTCGTAGGTGGGATAAATCAATTGTCATAGTATTTAGTAGTATGCGGCGAATAAGGAGACAATGTTGAGCAATGCTGTTGTTGAGGCGAGGAAGGGAACGTTAGTTACTTGAAACCGATTTAAAAAGCATTAAGCTATGCATTAACTATTCAAGCGTAACTTGAACGATAATCGCTGGTTGATATTCAATTTAAGCTCATCAGCAATGCAGCGCTGTTGAGGAAT